GAGGTTAGATAAAAATAATTTTTTGTCCTTTACCTATTTTGTTTGACTTATTAAATAATTGATTTATCCATTTTATAGTTGTGTTATTTGTATATAAATGTCATATATTATATCTACGACTGATGTTTTTTTATTGAACTCTATATTTTTTAACAACCTAATGACTTAGGATAAAACAATTTCTAATGTATACATAACACATATGTTTTAGAAATTATAAATAAAATGTTCAATTAATATTACTCTTTTATTATTATTGTTTTTGTACCTGTATAATTTATAAACCTATAAATTAATATGTAATTGGTAGAACTAAAATCTGATGTTCTGGGCAACTGGAGTTCTTAAAATATACAGTATTTCTTATAGAATAGATGTTTTCATCGGGATTCTGGATACCACAAACAACACAACTTCAAGACATAAGGAACAAAAAATGCAGACATCACTTACACAAGACCAATGTAATAGCCGATGAATATATATCTATATAGGTAACCTACACATTTGTAAATGTATAAACATCATCGACCAGCATCTTTTTGCAGTTTCATCATACAACTTGAAACAAAATCTAACAAATTACAAATTTGAAGCATTAAATACCTCGTTAAACACTCACATAAACTGTCCTCATCCATGAACGATCATTCTGCATCAATCACAGGTATAAAACTTCAGAAAGACTTAAACAATTTTGCTGACATGATTTTGACAGTCTTATAAGTCATTATTGTCCATCAATGTCTCATATGACTAAAAAACTATATTATAGAATCATTAATGTAAAGGATCAGTAGTAGCCCGTAGGTAGGTTCCTATCGCTCATCAGTGTTCAGATCCTATTTAATTCATGTAGAACAGTAGAAAATATTCTAAACCAAGTAAAGAGGATACTTGATATGACGCTGACTGCCAACTTCGTTTGTTGTGCATTTAAAGTCGATAGCCCAGCGGAAAATCGTGTCGTTGTAGTGGTTCGTTGGCACCGTTCCGAAGCAATGGAGTACTAGACGCGTTGTTTTTAAATGGTTGGCCAAACGGTCTTATGCCATTTATTTGTTTTACGTAATATTATTATACTCTATAGTTGTTTATAATTTATATGGTTGCAATTTTATTATTTGATCTAGAAACGCTTAACAGCAATAGAATTTTAGTATTTTACATGACACGATCAAACATAAATAAATACAATATTTTATAACTGATAGAAGATTAGATATGACGTATACGACATGGATATTGATACTATCACGATTAAAGATAGATAGATAGTACTGCATTTAATCGTGGATACTTTGGTAAGTGTAGTAGACATGGGGGTTTATCCCATTGTTGCTACACTTACGCAGATTTTTGTTTTGACTACTTGTCAGAAGGATGTTGTAGTCATGCCGTTAAGACAATAAAAAAAAAAGAAACTCAACACAATTTTGAGTTGGTGCAACTTTATTGCAGTATACAAAAAATACAAAAAATTCAAAAATATTATAATAATATTGGGGCGTGTGTGAACGAGCGTGGTGTCTGGTGTTGAAACAAAAAGTAATAATGGTAGCACTGTAGCAGTAACGGCAGACGAAACGTTCGGCGGAAGCAAGGAAGGAAACGGTGCGTGTCGGTGGAGCGTGGTACGCAAAAAGGTGTGGAGGTAGTGTTGAAGGCGGCGACGAGGTCGTCGTAGCGCGAACCATCGACAATGCGAGAAGAGGGGCGCGCTCGTTCGGGACGCAAGGAACATAAATAAAAAATAAATGCAGAGATCGCGTATACAGTACATGGAAAGAAAAATTAGAATACAAAATAAATCTCGCGCCGTGCGCGTAGTGAAAACATTGGGGAATAATTGGTGATAGGACTCGGAATCACCACAAACCTATGGTTGCACAACGAGCAATATTTTAACGGTGCCAAATATTCTTATCAAGCTATACAGTCTTACAGATACATACAAAAAAAGTCGAGTGGCTTGCAGTATCATAGTAGTTATAAAGGGCGCTGGTAAGATGAGAATTTTCTCCGAATTTGATGAGAACATTAGCAGCCTCTTATTGCTGTGATCCAATGTAGGCAGTCGTGCAACCATAGTATCTATACCAGTGATTCCCAACCGGTGATCCGTGGGCCAGTCATAGTTGGTCCGCTGTACCATAGATTATTTTTTCGATTTCTATTATAGAATACTATTTAAAAAAAAAAATAAATTCTTGTAAATGAGCAAAACAAAAAGGCTTCCTAGTTTTCGTAAAATTGAGGTGGTCCACGACCTATAAAATATTGTCTAAGTGGTCCGTGGTGGTATAAAGGTTAGGAAACACTAATCTATATCTACCCGCTGCACACTGTCTTAGAAGTAAGTTCCGATGACGAGCTAGCTTGAGCTCATGAGTAAAATTTGAACTAAATTTGCCTCAGTAAGCGGGCCACTGAAAAGCGCAACTTGAACATTATTTTATAACTTATAAGGCGGGGGTCGGGAACCTGCGGCTCTTTGGAAAATTCCCCCTAATATTAAGTAGATACGTTGTTTTGTGTGTTATTGTATTTAGTTAAATAAAATTATATTTGTAAAAAATAATAATAATAATAATGAATTAATGAAATGAAGTTTTTCTATATTTTCTAAATATAAGACGTATCTGTTCACGCCGAGAATAATCAGGTAAACGTATATTTAATACAGCGCGTTATGCAATTCTATGCACGGCTGCGGACCATCCTTATCATCTCATTTCTATCCCGGTTACCTCTCATTAATTGTCGTGTGATTTATTATACTAATATTGTTATTATTATAATTATCATTGTTCTTTGTCGCCGATTATTTTATACTATTTTTGTCTTATTGTAATTATCTGTTATTGTTTTTGTCTACAATCATTTATGCGGCCAACACCCCATTATTATTTTTATTATTATTGGCGTCGTACTATCTATCAGCTGCGTCCACCCTGTTCTGTTGTTTTTTCTTTAACTTGTTTTTGGTTTGCTATTAAAGCGATCTTTTTATCACATATGTGCAACCCTTTAATATAGCGAGCACCTATACTGTATCGTTCTTCTTGTATATAAAATGAAGCAAATAAAATCCAATCTGACCAAACATTGGAGTCGTAAGTCTTTACTTGTTTTTCATTACGTTGTGTGAGAGGCCTCCCAGGTCGTCCAGTTCGTCGTCTGCTTACTGGATCCGCCATCCAATTCCGTCCAGTCCATCGGCATCTCAAGACTAGTAGTTTTAAGTTAGTTATAAGTATTGTCCCTACTGTTAGTGAGCTCTGTGATCATTGCACCATGCCGGATCGATCTCAAAGACCCCACCCCATAAATAACTTGTACCATCCTCATTCGCGTGATAGGTCTTTCCTGTCCTGGTCGTTGTCGTCGTACGTGCATATTAAATTGCCTATCCATAATCTACAAGGCGCAAGTTCCTGTGGTCGTAAGCTGGTTGATAAAGGCCACCATATTATAATTTTTTTAAACAGTGTTCTTGGGCATTACTGAGTGGTCCTTCGGGAGCCCTAGTATTGGGGAAGTTCACGTATAATTATGTTTTTAATGCCAACCAATTTTTCAATGAAATATTAATGCTATATTTATTCTAATATTCTATAATATATTGTCTATACTAACAACTACAACCAAAAAAAAGGTTGTCCAAACCAATGAGGCTCTCTGGACATCATGGTTTTGTAATTTTTTGAAAAAATGGCTCTTTCTAACGAAAAGGTTCCCGACCCCTGTTCTAAGGACTTGGATAGGTTTATTATCAAAAATATTTGTTGAAAATCCCCCCCCCCCCTCTGTCATCCCGTTGAACCCCTTAAATCTACTATTGCCAATATATTGTTCATTATTAGGTATATATTGTGTATGGACTATTGGATTATAATAAAATTGTTCACGTAGACCTATTATACGCACTGGTTATAGGTTACCTACCTTTTTTGCAACCACGTGAATAATATTTTGGGATGTTCCATACTTGGCCATTAGGCCATTTTATCGTTCATAAGTAGTATTATTATTAGCTACAAAAGATCAAATATATATTTTTTCAAGTTTTTCGATAAGTGTATTACATTTAATAGAATATAAAATCAGTAATCATAATTACAATAATCATATCATATGTATATATATATATATCTTAAAGATATATTGGCAATAAACGTCAATTAACTCAGAACATTTGAATCACGTACAAAAATTAATCAAAAGCTTAATTTCTGAAACAATTAACCATCCATAATATTATATACAATTTTTTTATTTTCTTCTCAAAAGTAAAGATTTATAATACATATATTGTATGATATTTATATGATAGGTAGTAGTTACTACATGAGTATAACCATATTAAATTCATCATAAAATCATTTTTAAAAAACTCGAACTTATATTGGGTATACAATCTGTATTTTAAAATAAAAATTACCTTCTTCAATAATTTAAACATAAATAAAATTGTTAAATTGAAGGAAATACGTTAAAAACATTTTTTTAAATAAATAATAAAGAAAAAAAATGATATTACTGAAATAATAATAATTATGATTAAGTAATAATGAAAAATAAGAATAATAATTAACTTAACTTAACAACTAAAAAAAAAATATATATATTAAAATAGTAAATTAAAATAAAAATCACAGCAAAATTTTGCTTTGTTGAGCGTTGAACCTACTTTTTAAGACCTACACCATATCATCTAACAATTTAAAATATAATGATGATAATAATCAATTTTTACTTAGTACATAATAATTATTGGAAAATTATAATATTTTGAAAAAAAAAACAGTAACATCTGAATAAAAAATTTAGGAAAGTGTTAGCTTTGTTAGCTTTGCATACACATTAAAACTCATTAAATTAACTTAATCTTTATATGAAAAAATAAAAAAAACAACAGTAACCATTTGATTAAACATTTTAGGAAAATGCTATTTTGAGCAGTTTATTTTTAAGTCTAATTCTCATTATCTTACTTCTCATGTTCCAATGTTTCCTTCAGTGTCAAATAATTTCATAACTATTTGATTCATGCAAATAACTTTAAAATTTACCATTCCGATATCTGGCAAATATCCCATGACGTTATTTATATCAGGCACCAAATCTTCGTTAAGAAACTTCATTATATCGACTATCAATATTCTCAGTATGGAGGTAACGGATTCTCTCATGGACACATCTTCGACTACGAAATTTTTAACGGATATAGGGAATTGTAAAATGTCAAAAATGTAGGGAAATACAGTGCTCTGAAATGGTTCTTTGTCAATTCTATCCTCTCGGAGATTCTGAAATCGAAACAAAAATGTTTATTAATTTTTAACTGTTTTTAACTGAAAATGATAAACAATTTATTAAATGACATTTTAAATTACCATTAAAATAGCCAACAACGATACTGGCCGTTCTTTAATTTTTTTGACCATGCAACAGATTTTCAGTTGATCTTCTAATGAAATAACTTTAGTACTTTTCGATCTCATGATAAATTTTTGGATGTTTGTCGGATTTATATTTTCTATTTCAAATAAATTGAGAGAGTTGAAAAACCAAATATAATTTTCCATTTTATTTGACTTCAGCCACTGAAGGACGTCGTTTCCAATATTCTCAGTAACGATTGTTGTCTGCGGCGAGCTGTTATAATCATATTTCGTTTCAAAAAGTAAATCTATAAAAAAATAAAATTTATTAGTATTAACATTGCTGTAGAATTATTTATTAGCATGTGTATGTGTGTCATTCGAAACATATGCAATGGAACTTCGATAACTCCTATAACTCCTATAAAACCCCAATAAGTCGAATTTTCGACGACTCGAAGAAATGCCCTGGCTTTTCACTTACAATATATGATATGTGTGATGACTATTTTCTATAATTCGAATTTCACTTACTCGAATTGCTTGATTAGTCGAAGTAATTTTAGTTAAATTTTGGCATATAACTCGAATTCAAATAAAAGTATATACTATTGAACACTTAACAGATATAGGTCAAACAATAAAAAAATATCTGATTTCTTTAAAAAATTGTTATTTTACATTATTTATTACTTTGTTTTTTTTTTATTACATACAATTAATACATAAACATGTTTATTACTTTATACTTTTTTTAAAATTTTAGTATAATTTTACCAACATGCGTGTCACCCGATTGCGGCCCAAAGTAACCTTTTTACCTTTTCACCTATCCCAATTGCGGCCAGTACACATTAGGTAGAAAATTACTCATACAGTGGTTATCAAAACTAAATAAATAACCCGATTGCGTCTGATACGTATTTTGACATAAATACTAGTATATACCCCTATTGTATTCACGATCCCCAATACTCGGAGTATTAATTTCCAGTCCATTAAAGATAAATCAGATAAAATGTAAGATTACAAGTGGTGGAACATATTATGCTATTTAGGTTAGTGTTGTTTCGTTCTTCGTTATAAAGTGTAAATGATGGACATTTATGAAATGTAGGCGAAAAAGATAAACAAATATTAATAATATTTAAATATAAATTTAATTTATAATTTCATTATTCGTTTAATAATCATAAACGAGATATTGTATTTGAGTTGCATATACAAATATGTCTAATACAAAATGCTTAATTTTATTAATTATAAGCTATTTTGTGAATCAATGAGTGTTTGGACGGGCCGCAATCGGCATATATATTTGGGATAAAATACGACTACCTGTATTCGGGCCGCAATCGGGCAACTCCAACCTCCATACATTATACATATATTAGTAAATACATAAAAAAATACAATTATAAAATGAGGTCTTGAGTTTTTTTAAATAAAAAAATATTTTCGATAACTCGAATTTTTTTTCGCTGCCAACTGATTCGAGTTATTGAGGTTCCACATAAATTGTAAATAATAATATTAAAATTAACAAATTAATAAAATAAAAAGTTGAGAAAATTTATTTAAATGTATTTGTATAAAAAGTTCAAGCTAATCAACAATATAGATTCTGAGCAGGCCAATATTTTTTAAACAATGACAAATCAGTCACTGGTATGGGGGTATAACGATAGAAAATGAATAAGCATATTGCAGAAAAGTTTTTAATTTTCTAGTTAAGACTAGGGGCAAAGCACCTTTATACATAAAAAAAACAATGTAACTGTAGGTACTTAAATAAGCACACGTATTTGACCAAACACACAATACTCACTCATATTTTAGCTGACTTCATACATATAGGACATAGAGAAGGTAACCAAATGGAAAATACAGATAAAAAAGTTTCAAAAAGTACAAAGTATAGGTAATTATATAATTTTTTATGAGCATAGTATGGTGTATACTGTATGCTATTGTATAGTGTATTTTATGCTTACTATTATCCTTATACAGGTGATATAGGTTCACAAGCATAAACTTGTCGTTGATCGATGACCTGAGCAAATCCTCGTATTTCATTGTTGGGCAAATGCATTTGATTTCACCATTTGGCTTGATGTCAACGACTTCCATCTTGCTAAAATATTCCCACGCCTTTTTCAACTCGTCTTCCTTAATAATGAAATTTTTATGTTGTTTTTCAACGTCATCATTGTATAACTTCATCATTTTTTCTTCAAACAGTTCTCTTGCACTAGAGCTGTATGCTAACAGGGTGTAAATGATCGCCTTTGGATCGATAAACTTCTGCGGTTTGTTGTTTGCTCGTGTGGACGGTGGCTCGGTGGACGGTGGCTCGGTGGACGGCCTCGAAGCGTTCTCATCAGTACGTGTGGTGGTGGACGGCCGCGATTGGTCTGATAACACCGACCTGATATTTTGCATCGAAGCCTGCATTACGGAACCAATTTGAGTGGGCCAAACATTGCCAGACGGGTGCGAGTTTTGAGTGGACGATTGCGGCATTTCCGTGCAGTATGTTTGCAAAACGGGCATAGTGTAATGTGCGGACCGCGGGAACGTGTAATGCGAGTAAGTTGGGGAAGCGCTGTAATGAGCCGACCGCGGGTTGATGCGATGCGAAGAAGGCGTCAAATTGTAAATTGACGTTGATGACCGGGGCGTGCAGATTGGGACTGAAGGTTCGGAGCTGAAAGGAGGCGTGGAAAATGGTATACCACAGGATGGCATAGAAGAATGAGATCTTGTATAACATGTAGAAGTTTGAGACGTGTTGGACGTCACGGAAGACAGAGACGTATAGATCGGCATGGAAGACTGTGTGGGGTAGGGTGGACAGGAATGTGGCGATGTGTAGGGCGGTATGCGATATTGATTTCTTATATAATATGTAGACGTTTTAGACGTATCGGACGTTACAAAAGACGGGGACGTGTTTATCGGCATGGAAGACTGTGTGGAGTAGGGTGGACAGGAATGTGGCGATGTGTAGGGCGGTATGCGATATTGATTTCTTATATAATATTTGGGAGTTTGAGATATGTTAGGCATCGTGGAAGACTGAGTAGTGTAGGACATTGAGGAAGACCTTGAATCGTAGGACAGCGAAGTCGTTTGGGGCGTGTAGATCGGCATGAAAGGCGGTGTCCTGTTAGGTACTGTGGAATAGTATGCTGCGGAACTCTGAGAGCTTTTAGCTAATGTGGAAGTTTGGGAAGTGTGGGATGTTGTTTTATACGTTGGTGGAGATCTATATGGTGGACCAGAAGACCTAAGACTCAGGGGCAGTGCTGATACCTGAGGCCTATAGGACGCAGTCATATTGAGTGATGATGACGAAGACGGAGACGGAGACATCCACTGTCCGGGCACATGCGATGACGAAGCTGGTAACAGGTTTTGTGCTGAAGTTCTAAACTGCATAGTCGTGTCATGCGGGACCGTTCCGCTATTCAACGGCATAGTCAGGTTGCGCCGGGGCGTTCCACTATTCAACGGTGTAGTTGTATCGCGATTCAATGGGACTATTATATCAAGTGCGGTTGTGCCATGTTTCATCCTAACGGATTTGTTGAAATTGGCCATGCGACCCATTAAAGTGCGATTTGGCGAGTGGACCATTGAGTGGTTCCGCCGCGGGAGCATGTACTGTACCGGGAAGGTGGTGCTCGATAAGGTCTCAGGCTCGGAATCGCTATAATAGAATTGAGCATCGTCGGAGTCGGTCCCGAAAATGTCGATGTTTTCCAATTCCTCGAATGCTGAATCACTTGAAAAATGCGGTGACTCGCGATTATCCATGGCGATGGAAATTGTCGACGAATAGAACGGTCGGCGGCGAGGACGAAATGACGAACGTTCACTAACCACTAATATCGAATTCGGAACCACGACTGTCGCGTGGTTGTCGGCCTGCCAGCAGGCCAGAGGTAGTCACTCCCACCACTATTTTGATTATCCCCGATCGGCGGGGTTGTCCGAACTATGCCGGCAGTAGCCGAAATATACTGTTTGCTGCGCCTTATACCGACGGCGGGATATCTACAGTGGCGCTGCGGGTATCGATTGTCGGGTGGTGGAGGGCGATGTGAGTTGCGATTGGTAGGATGGTACCTATAACATACACCTTATTAGCTCATCGAAAATATAATACAATAGGTACTGCATTAAATTTATATGCATTATTACATTATTATATATTAGGTATAATATAAAGTATAATATATGTAACACGTTTGCGACGATTCGACGAAAATTTTGAAGTGTATTATTATTATCCTATCTATATGATGTATAAACAAATTGTACACCTAAAGAATTATACAATTTACACTATATACATTTTAATGTAATTTTTTTTTGTTAGTTTATTATTCATTATTTCAACAGTATAATTGTACTATGGACGTATGGTTATGAACTTTGATCACTACTAATTACCATCACTACTTGTATGTTGTTCTCATTCAATTATTAATGACTTGCACAGTATCACGATTTTTAAAATTTATCCAGCTCTGAATAACACTGTACCCACTTTTTAATAAAAATAAATCTGTTGCACATAAATACAAAATTTAGAAGTATTAATTTTTTACAAAAATTCTCCACCGTACCACTAAAAAGTAAGCACATGTGTTGTGTTAAACGAGAACTGTACACAAGACAATATATAATGACAAAAATATTACATTGGCTAAAGAAGTTAATCTAACTATTTGATAAAATTATCGATGGGAAATATAATTTAATAGGAAAAGACACAACTAATCGGAATTCCATTAATATGATCGTTAAAATAAACGGCGAACACGGTGCATGTATTCTGGAGTCGTTAAAAACTGCAACACTTGTATCTTAAGAATACTAAATGTGTTTACGCTTACCTGTAACTAATAACTATATAGAATTGGAAGTCATATTATATTTCACTAGCAAACAATATCTGGTGATGGTCCGATACTGAAAATAGATTAATAAGTAATATGTAGGGTGACTTTTAGGCACTGTTTCAATTTTCTATCAATGTACCATGAAAATTGAAACAGGCAATTTGTAAATTTGTTTTTCTAGGTGAAGAGACCAACATGTGGCAATAGTCGCCACACAGTGACGGTCAAAATGTACTATTTGATATTTAAAAATGTATTTTTGGTTTTATAAGATCAATTTATTTAAAATCAAACATAAAAAGTACCAAGCTTATATATTATTTCAATTAGATTATTAAATCTTTTTTTTTTTGCCAATTCGTTCATTACTTAATTTGAGGTATATTTATACCCCTTTCCTCCTCTCACTCTCTTTCTCGCACACACACACACACACACACACATGAACAGCCATAATGTCTAAGCTGTTGAGACAGCTCTAGAATAATATAATAACTACACAATTTAAACTGTAGCGTAAAGGCCTTAGTGGCTCAATGTCACGGGGGCCCGAAAATTCAAAATTTGAATTAATGAGACGATAACTCGTACTTACTTACAATAATTTTGTTTGTGTATTCATTTCTTATAACATTCGTTAAAACATTAAAGTTCTAAAAGATGAAATACAAAATTGTAAATATTTGTAAACTAGCAGATTTAATTATAATAAAAAAAAACCACTTATTGTCATCAAGTATCGCCAAAGTTTGCATAGCTTGAACTTTGCAGAATGATCGTTATCAAAACTGAAAATAATTAGGAAACTATGGAGAAGTACTATGAGCCAAGAGTTTCTTCTAGGTTTAGCATTAATATCGATTGAAGGACATCTACCAATTTGTTATCTATTTAAAATATTCTATTTTTGTACATTTTGATTTAGTTTTTTCACCATATTATTATCAAAATATGACTTAAATACTTAAAAGTTAATAGTTATTAATATTTTACTTTTTAAATAAATATGGGTATTAATGTTTCTTGATAGATGTTGAAACTTATATATTTAACCAATGATTATAATTGACTTATAAAATTATAATTAAATATTTAATTATGATGTAAAGTCAATTGGTTGGTAAAAAAATTAACTTTTGTTTATGTTTCAATTTAAAATAGTGAAGAGTTAGCTTTTATCTACTTTGGGGGCCTCGGGAGATCTTATTCGAAGGGCCCAAAGATCCTAGTAACGAAACTCAATATAGATTAAAATATGAGTGTTTTATGTTTAATACTCGTTTTAATTATAAAAATATTTTCTTCCACACTAAAACACATAGTTATAGTAGCCTGTGAGGTACCACCTTTAATATACTGTTTCTCAAATATTGTTTTATTATTTTTCAACCGTTGTATACACATTATATATATAGATTTAAATTCCTATAAATATTGAAAATATGTTCATGAGGCTGTCGAACCCCTTCACCACTTCCTATTTGACAGACATTGAATCCACTTGCAAATAATTATTATGTTTGTTGTATTTAAGTATTTTGTTATTTTAGTAAATCTATTTATGAATGTATTATTTGTTTTATACAAGTAAACTTGTATTCGTGTAGACGAGATGCAAGCTAATGAACGATTTATATAGTCTAGGTACCCATTCTAGTAAACCCAAAAAGAGTAGTATATTACGCATTATTATTTCATAATGGCTATTAGAATATATTACTTATAATTATAAATTACAAAGGTAGGTATAACTATGTAATAGGCCTAAAAGCCTAAATATAGATCATAGGTGAAAACAACAAGTTGTGTTTAGTGGTATAGATCGCCGTGTCCTGTACAGCGCTCACCACACCATATATAATAATAATAAAGAGTGCAGAATCTCATGTTCCCTTTACATAGGCATAATAGTATTTAAATAATAAATGGGATAACGGGATGTATCATTCTACATTTGTCAAACTGTAAAGTTTCAAAGCTGATATTTTGGACAATGTAGTGTAAAATAAAAAATTCCTTTAAAAAAAAATAAGTTCTTTTTGGGGCTATTTCGATTTAAAATAAGATCAATTCCGGCTATTCATTCGGGGGAATGATTTTAAGATATACTGACCATTTTTTGTTTGATCAAAGATTTTGGAGGGTAAAAATACTCGTTAATGCGCTTACACATATTGCAAACAGATTTAGAAATTTATATATTACTTCAGCTGTCTTATGGTTAGTATAGCACAGCGTATAGTTCAAATTCAAATCAACGGATGTACGATGACATCTATTCAATAAATTTTAATTTTTTAAAAAAAAGGTCAGTTCCATTGAAATCCCATTTTAGTAATATAGGCATATAATATAATATACAGTATGCACATGCAGACTTCAGGATCGATAATCCTGCAGCGAAACGTGTCTTCGGACACATGCAACATCTGCAACACCAGCCACGGCGCCTTTATATATACTTGAAAATAAATCTGGCTCAACATGTGCGTGTATTATATTATTATTATTATTATTACTATTTTAATTGTGTATCCTATACACATAATATTACAGTCGATCCCATTGCAATAAAATATGAGGTCCGCGCTTGAATACATTCAGTACGTCGTATAATATATTGCAGTTATAATCTAGAGGAACGTCGTGGGAGTGTGGGACCGACAACTACTGTGTGGTGTGGTACTTCGATATATGTATATAAGGTCGGCTTCTCGCATACTCCCTCACAGTGGCATACTATCGCACATGGTTAGATATAAACGGGGCGATTATTTTTTGTACCGCGAACCGGTCGACAACATGTCCACACTGCGCGCAGACCATTAGTCAATAATGCTTTTCACTTATTTTTCGTTCGATACATATATACTCGAATAAAGGACGTACGTATACTAACAACCAGTGTAACATGACGAATTTTTATCTTAAAACCGTGATCACCCCCTCGAGTTTCGAGTAATCGGCGCCGTGATGCCGCCCCGATATAAAAATATTTTTGTTATAATAATATCGTGATGTGCCGCTGCGGCAAATAAAGACGATCTCTCTTCCCCCGTCCACCTCACCCCGTTCCATCGCCGTCGCGCCCGCTCGTCCGTGTACCGAAGTTATTATCGAACCGAGGGATGATGCCGCCGATCGCGTCTAGATCTAAGGAAATCACTGCCGGTTTTTTTTTTTGGATATACCTTTATATTACACGCGCAATAGGTATATAAACGGGCGCCTACGTTTCGTTAAAAACAAATTAATAATACGCGGTCGGCGGTCATGATGTTCCCGTCGGCGCGGGACCCACGTTATAAAGGCACCTATATATAATATAATAATATAGGTACATTATATTCCTGTATAATAAATTACCTACCCGGGCTGTCCGACATCCCTACACTACCAACGACCGCCCGTCGTTATTTACGGATTGAGAATGTAGGAATAGCCGCGAGAACGCTTCAATTCTTTCTTTTTTTTTTTTGACGGTACGAACAATTCAAGTTTTTGTAAACACACACATATAAGCCGAGTATAATATATTTGAGTATTGTATGAGCACAATACAAATAGTTTTTCCAATCATATTTTCAAAGAATATTCAAACATACGCTGTGTTAGGTATAATCCGAATAAAATAAATCAGTATTTAAGTACTATCGGTTTAAGAGTATTATTTTCGATTTTGAGCTTATAATTTAATGTGACCACATTAATTATTTAACCATTATTTAAGCATAGAAGACAAAAAACATCTTTTGATATACTATCGGACCTTTTTGTCAATAACGAAAGTAATCGCTTATTGATAATGATAACATATAGGAATGAGTTCGAATATATCGATTGCGGTCTGTAAGATGATGATGATGAGTTTATTTTTATCTCAATTTATATCAATACTTTATGGTACTA